TCTCCGTTATTTTGGACTTATTGGAAAAATGGTAAAGAGAAAATATGTTTCTTTTATCAAGATCTACCAGCCCTGAAAACATTTGCACTTATTTAAGACTTACCCTGTATGATGAATGCCGTTGATCGTCATGTTCAATCTAACTTGACGACTTTTTCTTAGTACTTATAATATATCTGAACCTATTTTTTTTGAAATTGCAGTTCTTGTATTGTGGATTCAAGTAAAAAATTATTGTGGATTCTATTAATTTGAAACTACTTACAGCAGAAATTATTACTTTCGATTTAATTTACAGCTTATTTTACAAACTTTTAATGATTATGCTCAATATCTTCAGTAATAAAAATCCATTAAACGGCAATTACTAAAATTAACAGTACTAACCAATAAATCATTACGTTAAGTAATTAAATTGCTGTCTCGAAAAATGTAAATAAAAATATTTAATGTTCATATCAATATTACAATTACATTATATTTTACATTTTTAACCTACAGCATGTGCATTTACAATAATCATAATTACAGATTGTTATTTGTCTCACTAATGCTTATAGATCATTAATAAATCATTTAAAGAAAAAACGGCATTAAATTATTTTATAATGCCAGATTACTTACTCATGCACAAAACAATCACATACTAAGAACAAAAGAATTAATCATTATAAACCAGATTTTTGCACTATTAAACAATCCCAGCTACTACCTTTTGGTTGTGCAATAATTTCATATCCTTTAACAGTAAATTATGCTCACTTTTCTATTCGCATGATTAAGATTGTTATGGTAAACTTGGATACCCGTTTTTGTTTCCTTTAATGCAATTGATACGAAAAAATAAATGCAATGCATTTATCGATTAAGAATTTAGTAAAAAGTTAATTGAAAAATTAGCTGGCAGTGTGAATTATAACTGCACGGAATTAATATATGAAATTTTCCAATGTCTATGAGCTTTTTCTTTTATATAACTTATTGATTTTTGATAATAATTCAATGACTAGGCAGAATAAAGCGGTATATGTCATTTTTCATGTACGCGAAAAATATAATATTTCATTTTTCTTTAATAAACAATATTTCATAGCAGTTCTTTTTCGTAATGTTTTAATTAAAACCTTAAGAATTTCCCGTTTTTCTTGTTGTGTATTTGTTGTATCTGATTATATTAATATTTTATGTTCTATTAGGTTATTTTATTTTCTGTTTTTTGTTCTATACTAATTTTATATATTAGTAATAAAATAAACTTTAATTTACCGCATGTATATGAAGACCACGTGTTGATACAGGGTGAAGCTTATATAAATGCAAATATTTTTAGGGGTAGTCAAAATTTAAGCAAAAAACATATTTTTTGGAAATTTTCAAAGTAAAATAACTCGGTTAATTTGGACTTAATTGAAAAACGGTATAGAGAAAATATGTTTCTATTATTGAGAATATAATATTATCCAAAGACTGCAACATAAGCACTAAATAAACATCTTGGGCATAAAATGCAAGGCATAAGAAAGTTATTTACAATAAACATATATTTACCTTTTAAGACGCATTCTCACGGCTCCTGTACTTGACAAACATTTGTAATTGGCATACAGGGTATACACGGTGCGTCGGGAATCTATACAGAATTTCTAAGTTATTTATTATAAGAGCTACGCCGGCGCCGCACTCCCGCCAGACCCTGGTGGCCCTAAAAAAAACTTGCCAAGTACACGAGTCGTGAGAATGCGCCTTCACAAGTACTTGGGCACAATGATAAACACTCATATTGATAAGAAAAAAAAAAGATCCAGAATAGAACAAGCTAGAAAGTGTTTACCCAAATGAAAAGCTTGTCACAAGGTCAGAACTTGACCTGGAAGTTAGTATACGTAGATATAGATTATGTATTTTCTTCTCTTTTTCTCTTTTATGGTGGTGAATTGTGGACATTTAACTCTGCTCTAGGAAGAAATTTGGAAGCTATTGAAATCCATTGTTAAGAAGAATCGTCATTCCCATCACTACTGCACAATCGTTGCATCAGTCAACATCGATCAACATCAATCATATAATTTATTACAAAAAAAATATTTCTCGAAGCTCTTTAACTAAAAATGAGTATTTTTTCAAGCATACACTACAACCAACTAATTTCCTACTCAATATTCGTCTACTTTCCATATGATAAAAACTGTTTTCTAGTTCTAAACCTAACCAAACCAAACAACTATAAACAAATAAATTTGATTAAAATAAATAAAAGTGGGCAACGCTGTGCCGATGCCGGTCAAGCTTAATCACGTGACTAAAAGTTTATTTGGTATGAACTGTGCCTTTGTTTCGAAGTTTTCAAATTTCATAAGAACTCTTTTTAGTCGTAGGTACCTCGTGGTTCAGACAAAAAGCGTTGATTTTGATATGCAAATAATTATTCATTTAACTCACAAATTATTTTTTTTTTCATGTAAATCTAACTAATACTTTCTTACAGCTTCTAATAATTAAATTAGAACACATAACTTTTGCCTTAGTACAATTAAAAAATAGCAAATATGTAGATATTTTTCTGATAAGCATATTATATTCTAAGCAACTAATTTCTTGTTCAAAATTCGTCTGTTTTCCCAACAAGATATTTTTTCCCTGAATTGAACAAAACTGAATAAAAAACGACTCTTAAAATAAAGAACTGTGGCATTTCAACATAGTACGCTAACGAGGCTTCTAACCAAAGTACAATAGACCGGCCAAAGGAAATGTAATTTATTTCGATGCCGCGGTAAATAAATAAAGGAGTTCTTCATCTGAAAGCAAACAAGAGCTTCTGCCCCTAATTCGTATGATAAAGTGTTTTTCATTTTTTTACGAAGATAATAATTAAATTTTACCCGTTTCCATTTCTTCTCACCCCCACCGTTATATCGTCGGATCTTTTTTCCTGCAGTGTTTAGGTGCAGTCACGTATCCGGAAAAATTAGTTGTTTGTTTTACACAAAGAACATTTTTTGTTCGGTTTTTACATTGAAACTCATACGCTAAATCAAAATGTATGAATGTTAATTAGTTTAGATAAGCACGTTAGGGGTGGAATTGTCAGAAATTTCTCTCCTTTTTTATGATCGTATAACATTAGGGCTTTATATTTACATAAACATAATATGTTTATGTCCAATATTTCATTTTTACAACACGGTCAGTACTGATACTTTAACGGCTACTCTTGTGGAGATTTAAGAGCACAGCCTATTCATTGGACAGCCAGTCGACTTCGCAAATTTTTGAATTCCTGCTTGTTTTTACCCGCTTTTACCAGCAGGCAGTGAACATCAGTCCCGATAGTTTTTATATACGGAGGCTTCAATGGAGCCCAGTAACTGAGTTGTTACATAACATAAGGTAAAAAAAAATATCTATATACTTACGCAATCATTCAATTCTGGGCAAAAAATATATTGAAAATGTGGAAAAGTGGCACAAGAATGGATGGGTGGAGGTAGACCACTTTCTTACTCAAGCTATCACAGGTCATGGGTGTTTTGGCACATACCTAAAAAGGATGGGCAAAAGAGATAGCGATCGCTGTGTGTACTGTGAGGAGCAGGATACTCCTGCGCACCCTCTATTCAAGGGTGGAAGATGGACGGAATATAGGGACATGGGAGAGGCAAGGCGCGGCACAAAGGTCACGCTGGATAACGTCGGGGCAATTAATGTTGCCAAAATGCTTAAGGGTTTTGATGAAGACCAAATTTCAGGAAGAGTTGGCACAACGGTTGATACGTAGGATGCACACATAAGACAACCCTCTGCCTTGAAGTAATGCCTCGGGTGGTTCCGATATGGAGACTGAGGTTAGGAAAAGATGAGTTTTTAGTAGGTAGGCCCTCTGTGTAGAGTAGAGAGGAAGATCCCCACACTCCGACCTTAATGGCGTTTCCCATCTATACATAAAAATTAAAAAAAATTCCATGTAATTAATCGTAAACTGACTCGGTATGACTGACTAAAATTTCCATAGTGGATGCATTAAAGTATCTATTCTCAGTGAGATATAAATTTTCTCAGTAACTATTGAGTAAAAAATATGATAAATAAACTTTTTAACGTAAAATGTTTATGAAATTCACTTATTTCCAGTATTTTTTCGTATTGCATAAAGGAAATGCTCTTTGATCTTGGTCCACCGTACATTTTTTCAGATATCATTTAGATACTAAAATTTTAAAAATATAATTTTGTATAAAACGTACCTACTATGACAAGTAATGGCAACCATATTTTACCTAGAGCACCCTATATCAATATTAATAATCTGGATGTATATTTTATGATCTTGTTATATTCTCTACAAGCAGTGATTGATATGCAATTTCTTGAAATTTGTTTAGATATATTTTTCTAATTATAAATATCTGTAAACCATAGGTTATCTGACAATGATGTCTGTCGTATGTCTTCTGTCAAAATCTTCCCAGAGTCACTTAATAATTTATATCAATATTTTATTATTAAATTCACTGGATAGACATACTTATGATATGATATTTCTAAACTTGTTAAGAAAGCTTTTGTGATTCCCTTTTTGAAATCGGGTATCTGAACTTTAATTTAATTTATAAGTTATTATTCCATTAATAGGTAAATCTAATGAATCTAATAAATACTTTCTTACAACTCCTAAATTTATGACATATTTTTTTTTTACTTCAAATGGTTTTTCTCTCATTAGGCACCCCATTTTTTGCCTTTATCTTATAGATTTGGGCATTTGTGCGATTTTCAAGGATTTCATATCACTTTTTTCAATTTTTTTTACTACAGTATTCATATTTCAAAACTCTAGTATATAAACATTAGTAAACAAAATATTTGATTTTAACATATACCAAAAAATAGGAGACAATATCAATATCGATTAAAAATTAAAAACTTCACATTTACACGAATATGATTTATCTACTTTAAATTAAATAATGACAAAACTAATAATTATATTTTTATTCCAGCTCTCCTCATCTCAATCTTCCTTGGAGTTTCTGCCGGCCAACAACAATATTTTAGGGTACAGCCTCACGATGTCAAAGTTCAAGAAGGAGGAGAGGCCATGTTGGAATGCGAGGTGGCCAATTTAGTTGGACAAGTTCAATGGACAAAGGACGGGTTTGCGTTAGGTAAATATAATTTTCTCTAAGTGTCAACTAGCTTTTAGATAATATCAAACTTGCTATGTTATTTTTATTTTGACTAAGTTAAAACCTTTCTAGTAATAGAAGGCAAAAAAAATCAATACGCAGATATTATAAAATAGTCATAACCGTTTGTTTTAGCCTTAGAGTTAACAGTCGTAACTTTTAAATCGTAGTTGGCTTTTGAAAACATAAGGATTGGTATCACTATTTTCTTTTGTTCAAAAATGCAAAACGTTATAAAATATTAAAGAGTGGTATATAAGGATTGTTTTTAAAGAAAATATTTCTATAGACTTAATTATTTAGAAATAAATATTAACACAATTTCCTAATATTCGTATACACACGTGTGGAGCCTCTGTTAGAATTTCATCCGATGGAGAATACCATTATTTAAATTAATAAATACAAACTTGTCTTGTTTTTGTTGACAAACACAACAGAAACACAAACAATGATACTCCAATCGCGAATTGAGAGCTGCTCGATGTTTTGCTATCAGCTTAATCAAATTAGAATTCCATTTTCCAGCCTACAATTGAAAACTTTCCCGTTCCCATAGAAGTTTCTCTCAAATTACACGTATTCTCCGGCTTAACCGTTTCAGTTTGCTACGAATATCGACTCCAATTATTAACCCCATTTAATGGATGATTAAAGCAGTTTGAATTCTTACAACGATTAATTATTTTCTTATTTTTTTTCTGCTGGTCTAGTAAAAACTTTATGGAATACTTACTCAGATTGAAGGTAGTTTTACGAGGAAAATTAATTTGAAAATATGAAAAAATGGTCTATATTAAAGGATTATGAATATGGAATGGATTATTGTGATCTATATGGGTGGTCTGGTATATTTACGCCGTATTCAACGTTGAAAATTAATTTAATTTTAGGGGTAATAAATTAAATCTTGTTAATTATCAAACATTGTCATTGGACATAGTGAGGGTATCTATTTGCGGGTAAATATTGATAAGACCAAGGTGCTTGTTTTGTCAAAAATTATCATCAAACCCGACCTACTAATTAAAGGTGCTATAATACAACTAGTAACCTCTTACTAACGAAGCACACTGATAAACACTCAGATTGACGAGAAAAAAGAAATAAGATCCAGAATAGAACATGTTCACAAGATCAGACCTTAACTCAGACGTACTTATATGTATGATTGTATGTATCGTAGATATATTTTTTTTATAGTTCTCTCTGCTCTATGGTTGTAAAAGTTGAATACCCTACTCTAGAAAGAAATTTGGAAGCCTTTGCGGAATGTAATTGTACAGAACCATCCATCGAATATCATGGGTAGAAAACGTAACAAACGATAAAATTACCAGATGTATGAGAAAACAAAAAGACTAATTGTAAAACATCGCAAAATATCTAAAATGAGAGACTGGTTTCCGTTTGGATTCTACATTAGAAAATAAATAAAATATATTGAAACAAAAAATAGCAGACAATTAATTCACACTTTGGCAAAATTAAGCAGCCAAACGTGAAGTAATATTCAGAGTTCTACTGCCATTATACTAACCGTGTGACATTAGTCACATTACTTTCGTTCTTAGCGGAGAACGTATCCTAAATAAATTACCCGCTTCTTATCGAATTAGCCATAATTTGGCAACGCGGTTTAGTCGGCTTGCTATAACGCAGGCCAGCAATAATCATTATACGACTAATAAAGGGGCTTTTAGTGGATTACCCAAAGTGAATCGTCCTGTTCGGCTCATTGCACTCGACTTCTAAGATTGACCATTTGGCACACTTGGGCTTATTGATGGCGGTTCTTAGTTAACCCCACCTCTGCCCTTGAAGTATCAAGTACATTTGTAAAGACAAAAGACAAGTAGACGTAAAGAATATGTAAAAATGTAATTGAATAAAAAATCTATATTACTTAAAACTGTTTTTTTGGTACAATAAATAACAATATTAGTCGATGTATATGTCGCAGGCGTATCTAATAATTTGGCATTTTGCAAAATGGCAAGCATTTTCAACAAAAAAGTCTGTTTTCAGTCGCTTTGTAATATGGCTAATCAGAATTAGGCGTATTAAACAACGATGATATTTGCTGTTCATTTCTGCAAAATGACCGCTTGTTTTCAGTCATTCTTTAAAATTCCTAATGAAAACTAGTCAGATAGTGCAAAACATTTTACGCGGGATAGGTATGACTAACCTAAATTTATCCAAGGAATTTTTTTTTCAACATCTCTCAAAATTAGGAAAAAATGTCATCAATATAGTGATAATTCTATTAATGAGGGTGTGGTCAGAAATGTTCCAGCAATGAAATCTAAATTTGGAAGACAAGGGTTTCATAAATATTTCTTGAAATTCTGCAAAAAACATTGAAATAAAATGGCTCATGGTGCAAGAAAATTGCAATGATGTGTATCTCAGAGTGTCATGGCAGTAACATTTGTGTTAATAAATAGTTAATTATCCTCGTTATTACCACCAGCAAATGCATAGTTTTAACAAAGGTTTTAATGTAAAAATTAGCAAAAAAATATTAGTATCTTCTTTAAAAGCGAAGATCTCCAACAAAAATAAAGCTATTGAGATGTTTAAAAAACAATCTATCGAGAAAGAATATACCTAGATGATATAGTGATTTTTAAATCCCTTGCTGTCTTACATATTCCACAGGGTGATTTAAACTTTTATCAAAATATCAACGTTTTATTTTTCCTCGTATAATTGACAGATGGGAACTTTCATTTATAATTTAGAAAGAGATACTAAAAAATCCAATAATTTAGCTACATATTACTTAAAAAATCATCAAAGTCGGCCCACTAGAACAAAATATATTAAGCTTCAAAAATACACCAAATTTTAAGATGCCCGTTTTTCGTGCCGGTGAGTGTATAATATGTAACTTTCTCTGTCTCTTAATGGCGCGAATTATAGAGAAGAAGCAAACACCTAAACTTTAATTTTAGTTGTCATATTTTCCTTTTTTATAAATAATAAACACTGCTGGGATATAACAATAAAAAATATATAAAATATAAAATATGTATATATTTTTAACACAACAAAAAAGTTTTACGCCCGACATAAATTTCCCTATGACAAGATAAAATATATTGAGTTGGAAAAAAACGTAGTTTAATATTTTATTTCCATTTCAGAAAAATTGTTTCTTTTGAACTTCCCTCTTTCTTTTTCTATTTTCAAAATAAATAAACTCTCTGTTTGAAAATATCTTTACGGTAAACGTTTTGAATATTAGGATCTTTTTTGGCACATGAAAAAATACAATATGAATAAAACTAAATATATATATGACAGTCTATGCCTGATTAAAAAAAGGTTAGAGATATTCAGTTTTTTCCATGGGGGAGATTTTCTTTAAATTCAAATGCATGTTTAGCAGATAAGTCTACATTTTTTTACAAAGAATTGATTTACTTAAAAAAAATATTTTTTTGGGAGTGTTTAGAATAATTTAAAGCATTTACTAATTTGGCACATTCTTAATTATTATCGAAAAAAAGAAGTATGTGACGATAATTTAGAATAACGAGCACGCTGGATATAGGGAATATACGTTGGATATGATATATAAATTCAGGACAAACTGGCAACAAATTTTCCAGGTTTTCGTTTTTTCTATGGTAAGATTGGAAAATCTATTGACACACACTGCTCATTCTCGCCGCGTCGCGCCTGTTAAGAAGCTGGATGAGATCGAGTATCTTGTGAGTAAGAGTCGATTTAGACACTTGCCAAGTCGGTGGGCCAATGAAAAATGATATAGCCGAGGAACGCGGTTCGGTTTCCGCGTAAACAAATTCCCGTCCAGGTTACTCTTAGCAGCGTAAAGGAGAAGTTTAAAATACTTTACTGTCCCAAATGGATGAGTTTTGACCAAAGATTGAATAACCAACAAACTTTTATTTTTAACAAAATACAACAGGATACCAACCCTTCTTAATTTTTTTCTAATTTGGCATAAAACACCCTGTATATTGCGCAAGTTTGCTACAATTTAATTTTTACCGTATATCTTATAGTTTTCCAGACCCTATTGGCAGAGATATACAAGATACCTTATAAGGAGTATCTGAAATATAAGTTACAAGACTTTTAAGCAAAGTATTTGAAATATTAGTTACAAAATACTTTTGAAGAGGGTATTTAAGATACTAGATATAAAATACGTATTTTCTTTTATTAGGACTTTTATTAAAATAAAATACTTTTTGAAAGATTTTTATTTTATTTTTAAAGTTATTTAGCTTATTACATTAATAATAACTAGCGTGTACCAGCGACTTCGTTCGCCTCGAATTAGTCATTTGTAATGGTGATGATAAAACAAAGCAAGAATTTCCATTAACATACAAACTGGATAAAAAATTTTCACATTTATGTCAGCATGAGAAAAAAACAATATGGCAATATTATTATATAACTTGGTAATATTTGAGGGGTAGTTTCATCTCGTTGGAATTTGATATTCGAAAAATCCGTTTGCCAAAAATATGCTTTTTACGTCAAGCAGTTTAAGCAGAATCGCGGTTAAGAAATTACCCAATTTTTTGGAACACCCTGTATGATTTTTTAAAAAAATTCAAAATATGTGAACAAACCAAATAAGTTATGCTTGTCCAAACGTTTTCCCGAAAGACTAACCGTTTTTTAAATAACAAATATAATAATATTTGAGGGGCGTTTTCACCCTCTTGGAATTTGAGATTCGAGAAACCCCTCCTTATCGAACCTCTACACCCCACAGTCAATCCGTTTGCCAAAAATCAGCTTTAAACGTCAAGCAGTTTAAGCAGAATCGTGATTACTCGCAATGGTCATATTTTATGAAACACCCTGTATAAATTTATAAAAAAAACTTAAAATATGTAAAAAACAAAATAAAATATACGTGTTTAAGCGTTTTTTTTTGGAAACTTGACCGTTTTTTAAATAAAAAATATTGTAATATTTGAGGGGTGGTT